ACACAGAATTGTTGGAGTGCATGTATTCAAAGCAGGTATAGAAACTAGAGAAACCACAGTGCCTTTTCCATTCCCTCTGTGGTTACCTCAACTGCTTGGGTAAAGCCCAATGTGATCCTTAATATTCTTTTACAAATCATTTCTGAGTCGTAGTGAGAGAAACCCAGTCTACCTGGTTCTTCTGTATCAGGCCAGAAGGAATCCCAGCAGTTGAAAAGTTTTGTGCAAGGAGAGGGGGAAAAGTCTAGTAAATTATAGAAGAGATGTTTGCAAATATAATATAGAAACACAGGAACATTTTACTATACGAAAAGAAAAGAAGACTAGCACATGAAAGTAATAATAACTGTGAATATAAATATGATTGATTTAAAACAGTATGTTTTACCATATGTAAAAATTGGTGCTGTTTTGATATAAAATTACAAGCATGTCAATAACTCAGCCTCAATGGAAAATGAACTATGAATATAATAATCAAGTACAATGAAGACAGATTTTATGAAAACAGCTTCCTGAAGAATGTGCAACAAAATTGGGAAGGAGGACTTGCAGTACAGTATTCCAAGTCTAGGCATATATGTATTCAGTTCTTATTCTCCATATTGTAAAATATATGGCTCATGATTATCATATTGATCAACTGAGTGAAAAATCTTGAAACCAAGATTTTTTCCAGCTTTACAGCCTATGTGCCTCCTTGAATTGTCTTGTTTGCAAGGATTTGCATAATTAGCTATATACGGCTCTCCACATGGTAAATGTCTCTCAGAAGGCTCCTAGTATAATGCTGCTCTAATCTTAAGTATCACTAAATCTTACTTTCAGGTAAAGCATAGTCAAGTGTGGCTAATTTCAGCTAACTGAAAAGTGTAGAACATTGCTAAGAATGATCTGTCATTTTTAATCATCTTTCTAAATCAGAGTGTGAACCTGTAACCATTCAGATATTACTAGATTCCATCTTTCATTCGCCTCAGTCAGCATGGTCAGTAGCAACGGATGATGGAACCTACAGTCCAACAATATTTGGAAGGCCCCACTCTGTTCTTGATAACAGCCAGCTGACAGATGAAGAACGTAGTTCTCGGATTGAACCAGAACATATAGCACTGCAGTATTTAATTGTGCAGATGAAACAAATAAAACAGCTATGACAAGTTAAATATTCAAAACCACAGATGATATCATTTGCATAAGCAAAGCTCAAACCTCATGAAATGGGGGTTTCACAAAATGCCAAATATCTATTAAAATGTTACGATTACCACTGTGCATACCATGAAAGATACAGAGATGACAACATACAAAGACTGCAACATAAACCTTCTTCTTGTGAGTACAATAAACAGATTAGGTAAAGGTAAAGGTACCCCTTGACATTTAGTCCAGTCGTATCCAACTCTAGGGGACAGTGCTCATCCCTGTTTCCAAGCCATAGAGCCAGCGTTTGTCCATAGACAGTTTCCGTGGGCACGTGGCCAGCACGACTAGACACAGAATGCCATTACCTTCCCACCATGGTGGTACCTATTTATCTACTTGCATTTTTACATGCTTTCAAACTGCTAGGTTGGCAGGAGCCGGTACAAGCGACGGGAGCTGACTCCGTCATGCGGATTCGATCTTACGACTGCTGGTCTTCCAACCTTGCAGCACAGTGGCTTCTGTGGTTTAACCTGCAGCACCACCATGTCCCTACACAGGTTAAAAAGTATCAAATTACACTTGGGCTGAAACCCTACACTCACTTCTTGGAGGTGGCTCCTCACCTCTGAAACAACCTGCCTCCAGAGATTCATGCAGCCCCGTCGCTGGGTATTTTTGAGACCCATCTAAAAACTTGGACATTTAAGCAGGCCTTCCTCCAGATAATACTTAATTTTTTTCTTTATCTATCTTTTGTCATCTCTGAAGAATCTGCTTTTTGTTTATTGCTTATTGTTCATTATTTATTGTTCACTATCTATTGCTGGATATTTTTATTTTGCTATATGTATATATTTTCACCTGTCTGGAAGCCGCCTAGAGTGGTCGTATTGACCAGATAGAGGGGGTACAAATAAAACAAACAAACATCTGAGTACTGTAAATGCTACATAAAGGTAGCATTAAGTTCCAAAATGAGAGCTGGTAGGACTCAAGTTTGCTAAGACATACTTTGAAGATGAAGTCCCATATACACTCAACTGAAGTTATATTGGGGTAAGTATACTTATTGAATCCATTATACAATTTAGAATAATATCCTACTACTTAATTTCAGATGTCTAAAAGGTGAAAGGCAGTCATTAACTTAGCTATTTCGGAAACCAATGTGAACATGAAAGCCAACTCTTACATTTAATAAAATAATACATTATAGTAAATATTTACCTATGTGCTTCTGTCACTATTAATTAGGTTCTGCACTAAAGTAAACACAGCATCAGGTAAAAACTTGATCATTTATAGGTATCTACTTAGAAATAAGTTGCACTGTGTTCAGTAGGACTTGTTGTTGTTTAGTCATTTAGTCGTGTCCGACTCTGCTCAAGTGAGTTTTTTAAATAGATTGTTGTGCCTTACTGTTTTGAATGTGTTTTTGGTGTTGTTTCTGTTTACCGTCTTTTAGTGTGGTGTTTGTTTAATCCTTTTTAATGTTTGTAAACCTACTGCTTTTAGCTTTAAATACTGCACTATATTTTAATTTTATTTGGTGTCTTTAACAAGAAAGGTGGGGTAAAAATATTTCAAATACATACATGCATATATACAGTAATTATGTATGGGATTATAGTCTAAATTTGCATTAGCAGGTCCTGAGTATGCACTCTACTGAGATCTGTTTATGAGTTCAACTGGTCTTATTTTCAAATAAGGCTGTCACTTTCTGTGCATCTACATATGAAAACAGATGGAGTCATATCTTGATGCTTTAAATCTAGTCACCAATGTGAAGAGAAAATAAGAAATAAACAAATCAGCAAAACCAGACTGGTATCTAGGAATTCTGCAAGACTCAGAAGAACAAACAGTAAAATGCCTCTTGACAGCTATAGTCCCCAGCTCAAGCTACTCACAAGTATTATCAGTGATCTAAAATCCATCCTGGACAATTAAACATCACAAACTTTGCTCATAAGCTACATAAATTTCAAATAATTATTCACCAGAAGCAACAGACTTTACTACAGATGCAGGCACAGTAACCAGACCTATGAGATGCCTAAATACAAATTGTCCACATGTCTACAATGCCTGTGTTATATAATATTATTTTCATCTGCTCATCTTTAAACGTAATGCCCCTCTGCATTCAAAAAAGGATTAACAGGTAATTGTTATGGTAGGAAAGGGAACCTCCAGATGGTGGGTCAAATTCAGCCTACAAGCCCTCTCTCTCTGGCCCACAAACAGCTTCAGGAATTAGTAAGCGGTGAGATGGCGAAGGAGCTGGATCTTAACTGAGATATAGCTTGAATGAATGGCTCCTAAGAAAGAGCTCAGTTATTATTCACTTGTTCCTCACATTTCCATCTCAGGATATATGCATGCATGAACATGTGAACAAGATGTATGTGTAACATTGGTGTATTTATGTGAACGGAGTATACAGAATACTGTATACCTGTGTGTGAATGAATTGCTGCAAAGCACATCAGTAGGGCACATTATGAGTAGTAATCGTAGCTCAACTCACTACTTTTATGCATGGCTGAAATACTGGTAGGTGTGCCAGATATGAGGCAATTCAGTACTCAGTCTCTAGCACTGAGTTTAACTGCAGACCTAATGTTTGCAACCTCTGGTTTCATTTTCAGACTTTTCTGTTTCTCCATCCATCCTTATCTCTTTTGTACTAGTCTGGTGAGAAGTGCCAGAAAATGCAAGTCTTACACACTTTTGTGAGATTTTGGTCAGACTTAATTTCTTCCCTTCCTATACCAGCATGACTTTTGTCGCCCCCCCCATGCAGTCACATGATCATCAAAGAAGCTCTTGTCAACAGCATAGTTTCTGCATTTTACACCTCATGAGGTATCCCTTTTTCAAAAGCAACCGCTGGGTAGTGCTTTGTTTAATTCTAACCTGAAAGTACCCAAGGTATAAATAACAGGTGAGATCCACTTTCACTAGGAACAGCCACAGTTGCTTCCCCTGCAAACCTGAGGCAAGGCAAACTCTAGCAACACTTCCGAACTCCTGCTCCCCAGGAGGAAGACAAACCTCCATCCAGATCAGGCTGAACCCAAATCTTCCAGGCTGATCCTTATGTTCAGCCGACAACAGCCTCTATTTCTTCTGGATTAGGTCTCATTTCCTGATGCATCTCTCGCTAAACCCAGCATAAAACATTCTTGCAGCTGCGTCGCTCAAGCCAATGCATGCTTACTCAGAAGCAAATTCAATTGAAGCATATGAAATTTCCTCCCAAGAAAGAATGCCCTACAGCCCTCTCACCTTTTTTGCTCAGAAGTCACAGCACATTGTGTGGGGGACAACTCACAGAGGACAGACGAGATTTGCTGTCTTGTAGTGGGGTGGCTGTACCTTTACTGACAAGAAGCCCCACAGAGCTGCAGGGGGTTTAATTCCCAAATCTGTGTGGGCATTAACATGGCCAGAGCCTTTGCTATCCTTTCCTCACGGAGTGCCTGGTTAAGCAGCGACTATTCTCCATTAATTGGCAACAACAACCCAGCAAGAGGGGTGTCTGTCACTCTTGTCATCTCGTGCGTATGTGGCGCGTTGGTAGGCTATTCTCCGGGGGAGGAGGAGGAGGGAAAGCCGTCTCCCATGCATGGGGAGAAATAAAAATAAAATTAGTCAGCTCGGAATGGGTAGCCAAGGGAAACCGTCACATCCAGCCTCCTCAGGCACACCAGGCCGGGACGCCGCAGGGGGTTTCGCGAGCGTTAGGCAGCGGCAAGGAGACGACTAAGGAGGAGGAGGAGGTGCCTCAGCGGCCGTCATTTCCGCCGTGTGTGAGGCGGGGAGGGCAGGCGAGCAAGCAAGCAAGCAAGTAAGCAAGCAAGCAGGGAAGAGCGCTCGCCGCCGCCTCTTTCTCCTGAGGCCTCCCGGAGACCCAGTTGAGAGAAAGAAGGCAAGAGGGAGCGAGCGAGGAAAGGAAGGAAGGAAGGGAGAAAGAAAGGGCTGAGGGGGAGGGAGGAGGAGGCGCTGGCCCGCGCCGCCCAGCCGAGCTCGACAGGCGCTCAGGATTCCCGCCCTTCCCTCCTCCTGGACGGACGGAGCGACCCGACCTCCCGCCGCCTCACAGCCCGGCCCGGCCATGGGGAACGCTGCTACCGCCAAAAAGGGCAACGAGATCGAGAGCGGTGAGTGAACGAGAGGGAGAAAGAAAGAAAGCGAAGGGACAGCGACGGCGACCGTTTGCCTCCGGGAGAAGAAAGGGGGGGGGGATAAGCCAAGCTCTCTTGGCTTCGCTCTCCCTCTCCCCGCATTCACCAAGGTGCACTGGGACGACCAAGTGGCAGGCCCTGCGGCCTAGCCTGGCGGGCTGCGGCATTGACAGCAACCCTCTCCCCCCTCCCCCCTTTACACACATTCACCGCCTTTTGCCCAGAGCAGGCCCCGGCGCTGGCGGCTATACCCGGCGAGCGTCGGCAGCCCCTCTTTTTGAGGATTTGGGGCCTGCTTGGCGGGGCGGGTAAAAGGGGGGGGGGAGAAACTCCTGCTGCATCCTCCTCCCCCCTCCCCTCCCGCTACAGGGCTTACAAGTAAGCGGGTTAACCCGTCTTCGCCAGGTTCAGGGCCGCTGTCACGAGAAGACCCGGCCAGCTTTGTTGTTCTTGCGAGCCTTGGCGGTTTCCACTTCCAGACCTTTTTTTCCCCCCGTCGCTCATCTTTTTCCTCCCCACTCGCGTCCTTTTCCCTCAGCGCGTCCTTTGCACAGGTCAGGCGGCCCCTCTGGAAAAGGGGATGAATTGAGGCGGGGGGGGGGAAATCCCTCTCCCACCCGCCGTTGTCGTCTGCTGTTTATTCTTTTCTCTCTGTAAAAACTCTTGGCCCTGTCAGAAGGAGCTTTATTTCACAACCGTGGTGTCGAGGGAAAGCTCTAAAGAGAGCGGGAGCTGCATAATGATGTAAACTGTTCTGTGATTTGTTTGGTTCCTGTGTTATTTCCACCTCTTCTCTCTATTCTCCTCCCCGTTCGTCTGATGTTGCCACACAAAACCCTCTAACCTTTTCCTGTTATAGTGGCCAATGCTGTAGTGGAAATAGTTATTCTCAGGTTCTGCAATTGATGGACAGCTTGTCCTATGTCAATTGGCATATAAAGTGCTTGATTATTCTAAGTAATGAACGTAGCAAGAATTTACAGTATAGTCTTCGTTTGCAGTACAGTACTTTGTAACAGTAGGAGATCAAAGTTTGTCATGGGGTTTCCCTTAAGCTATGTGAGCATGGTGTTCAAGCAACATTAGGTATTAATTGCAAATATGATTTCTTAGTTTGGCAAATCTATCTGTAATACAGCAGAAACAACCACAACATTATTTCCACTTGCCATTTAAAACAACCTAATTCCATGTACATTTATTTTTTTCATCTTTCAACTAATGCTGTTCTGAAAACTACCACAACTTATTTGTTGTGTTTCTGTGTGGCTATTTGCTTATTTTTAGTAAATATGAATTGTGTTTTGGTTATGACATTTGAGATTTGCAGTGTTACACATTCAGTAGTATTTATGTTTGTAGTGAATTCAGACAAATATTTTTCTGTGTTGTAAAGGTTTTATAATTTGAAAAAAGCTTTATTTTAAGGGAGGCACATATCTTTTCAAACACTGTACAAAGAAAATACTGTAATGTTTGGCCATCTTATAAGTAGTAATAGTAGTAGTGGTGGTAGTAATAATACTAGTGTGCTGTCAAATCAGTTGACTAGAGAGTCTTCAGAAGTACTGTAGTTTACCTTCCCTACTTCTGCAGCAAAACTGGGATTCTGCAGCTTGCCCAAAGCCTGGCTCTTCTGAGATGCACAGTGGGGAATTAACTTCTACCCTCTGGCTCCTTAACCAGAAATCTAACTCACTTACCAATCTTATAAATCTAAAGAGTGAGTTATGTTCCTCTGAATATGTCATCAGTAGTAAGTCCTGTTTAGTTCTACTGATTGGATGTCTAAGATTTTACCCTTTAGCCGCTTTAGTGCTCTTCACTGTGCTTGATTTCAATGGGTTTGTGTGAATTAGGTATCTGACTGTGGAACTAGAGGTTGGGAGTTCAACCCACTGTGCCTCCAGGGAGAAGAGTCGGCCTGTGTGGCCTTGGGAAAGCTGCACAGTCTCAAGGCATCTCCAGAAGAAGGGACTGGTAAACCACTTCTGAGTATTCTGGAAAACCCTGAAAAGGTTCGCCATAAGTCAGAATTGACTTAACAGCATATGATTATTTTGTGTCAGCTAGATAGGAGCATCCTAAGATAGTTGTTTATATCTATAACACAGCATAAATAGGGTGGGAGAAAAATACCTTGAGGAACATATACAAACTGGAATGAGAATCCTGCACTACAATCCCTGTCTAGAGAATTTGCTATTATCTTGATCTTGTTTAAATAAACACTAACCATGGGCATAGTTTTCCTGCCTTTTCAGTGCATGTGTGACATTTGAAGAATCCCTGGCTTGAGTTACGCTTTCTGAGAAGAGTGGAATGTAGGGTTCTCATATAAGCTTCTTTACACTGTCATATAGTTCCTTATATGTTTTGTATCTATTACATCTCTGATAAGTTTTGGTATAGCAGCACATTTGTTGTAAACTATGGATTTTATCTTAGTGTTTCCAGCAGTGTACTCTTGCTTCTATCCCTCTATAGTGGTACCTTGATTTAAGAACTTAATCCATATTGGGACTGCATTCTTAAGTTGAAATGTTCTTAAGTCGAAGCACCATTTCCCATAGGAATTCATTGAAAACCATTTAATACGTATCTGCTGTTTTTCGTTCTTAAATCGAGGTGCTGTTCTTATGTTGAAGCGTTAGTTCCCATAGGAACTAATGCAAAGCTGGTTAATCTGTATCTACCACTAGGGGGTGAATTTTTTAAATTTTTCTTCTTTTGACCTTAGGTGAACTTAGGTTAAAAAAAGCAGGAAAGGATTTTTTATTTAATTTTTCTTTTTGTTTCTTAATTTGAGGCTCCGTTCTCAAGTCAAAGCAACTTTTTGCGTACGGAGCCGTTCTTAACTCAAATCGTTCTTATGTAGGGACGTTCTCAAGTCGATATACCACTGTATATGATTCTGCTTCTGCTGAGAGTAGTTTTGATGCTGGAAATAGCAGTTTACTGGATACTGTTAAGGTAAAACTTTTGAGATCTTTGACTTCAGGGAAATGACCTGCTATGGGTGAAATGGGTGAAGTCACAGATGTGGAATGTTTAGTGTCCAGTAGAACTTTGAATCTATTCCACAGAGCTGGAATGTTTTGAGTCCAACTATTATGCATCCCCTTAAAAAAGGTTGAATTCCTAAGAAAAATTACTTGGCAGCCTGTTATCTATGCATTCAGTGTTCTGGATTGTGATGTCTTACAGTATTGTTAAAATACGTTTAATCTAATCAGGACTTCACCATCTATACTACGTAATATTCCTCCTAAATGTGTAACAACTGCAATCAGTGTAATAATAACTGTGCATATAGTTTAAGTATCTTATATCCAAATAAATTTAAGGCTATTGGCAGGTTCCTAGACTTGCTGTCATGCAGCAGTATAGTGGCTGTTATGTAGTGTAGGAGATGTGTGTCAATACTAGCTCTTGGGTGCTTGTTAATGAGATTGCCTTTGGTTTACATTCTTTTTCTAAATTTCTTGTGGAAAATCTGAATGCAGAATAAAGCAGTGTACTATATGTGCTTCAGAGCAGAATGTCCCTGAATGTTCTTGCTAGAATTGTGGGTGAAGCAGGAATTGGGGGTAACAAGATTGACAGGGTTGAGAAGGAAGCATTGTTGTAGGTAGTATCGATGGGTATTCCTGAATGTGACGTGGTAAGCGGGATTTAAAACATAGACTGATCCTGCCACTTGACAAGGTTTGTCTGTTCATTGCAGGTGAAATATTTATGGAATACCTGGATATGAAGGGTACTATCTCCCTGGGCAAGGATTTTTATTCCAAGCTAATGTTGGCAGACATAAAGAGTTTTACTACACATATATGTAGAAAGCCTAAGAGGAAAAAATTTTGCAGTTAATAATCATACCCTGGATATAATCGTTTTGCTCCCACTGAAACAGTGATTTGTAGATCAACAGCATTCTGCAATACTTGCAAGATAATAAAAAGTATCCTAATCTGTTCTGAAGTTTACATCTTGTATACCTGGCTTGTATTTGAGAGGTCTTATTGTAACTGGTTAGTGTTGATGGAGGTAATGTGATTATCATACTGAGTAATAAAACTTCATCTAAACATTTCTACATTGCAGAGCTTTTACCTGTTAGTGTTCAGAACTCACAGTGTTGCTGTTGAATTGAAGTGATGATTGATTGAAGTCCACATCCCTTTCAATGGCTTTCAATGGAGAATAAAAAAATTCACCAAAATTTAACGAAAACTCAGAACAACACCAAATTAAGTTTGCATAGGTTTCAGGAGGTGGGCTAACGATTGCAAGCATTTAAAACAGGTTTCAAACAGTTTAAGACACTTTTACAGGAGCGAAAAGGGACTTCGCAAACCCATTCAAATGCATTGAGTCGGCTTCAGTGCATTTCAATTGGGGAACCGCGTTTCCCTCAACTATGTTTCCTATGCCGATTTTCACTTAAGGACGGCAATCGTTCCAATTGGAACGGATTAACCGGTTTTCAATGCATTCCTATGGGAAATGGTGTTTCACAGAACGATGTTTTCACAGAACGTTTTTTGTTTTGAACCAATTAACATCGTTGTGCGAGGCACCACTGTACCATGTCATAAAAGTGGTTTTCCCAGGGGGAGGTTCATCTATTGCACTTTGGGTATGCTGCTGATCCCTGTGATTTCCCCAGATGTGGGGAACTCATCTGCATAATTTGTGTTAATAGGAGATTGCACTTGTGATTAACCCTGTTTTTTCTCAATTTCTTTTCATCTCTTTTTCTCCTCATCAGGACCTATTGCAAAGGCAGCAAGTCCTGATGATGTTTTATATTCCTTTCTCTTTTTTTTCTCTGTGGTTAAAGGATCAGGACAAATGGAGTTACTATTGTCTGGAGCCAGGGGGCTGTTTTGACTTCTTTTATTCTCTTTCTTTATTGCTGGAGAGAGAAAGAGGGGGAAGGCCATCTGAGACCCCTTGAATTTCCAAAGGCAGTG